ATTAAAACATAAACATTTAAAAAATTAAAATGATACTTGATTTTAGTTTTCTGCTCTTTTCCACAACCTTTCGTCAACTAAGTCTGTACGTATCCTTTTCTTGGTGCATCAAGCAGCAATATGTCTGGGCTGCTGGCCCAGCCTCCCTCAGGGGGCCTGATCAGTGGCTGCTGGTCTAAAACAGGAAAGCCGGTCCCATCCCATCACATAAGACCCAGAAGTGATGGTTCTGAAGCCCTAGTCCTTTGTCCCCCAGATGGGTGACCCCTGAGAAAGGAAGTGACAACATCCCATCTCACGGAGCACTTGTTTAACAAACCCTACCTCAGGGAACCCCAGCCTCCTGCCCCTCCTGGACGTTGCCAAGGGAACCAAACAGAGGCATCGCTGGAGTAAGTGACAGTTGAAGCCAATCACAGGCAATCCAATATTTTGGTTTTTCCGCCCCCTTGGTCTTGGTCAAGGGGGTGCTCCCAAAATCTGACAAGTCTTGCAGACACAGGTGCAAATGATGTCTTGTACTTTTCTAAGTACTTAAAACCTCCAGAGTATGCTTCTTGTATGTTAATGCAAGGTTTCAGAGGGCCTGGCTGTGTTTGGATGTGAAAAACCCCGCAGCACTTGGAATCCTGCCTAACCTGGCGGGGGTCGAGGTGGCCCCATTCTACCAGCGACATTCTCAGGAAAGCAGAATTGTGTGTCACGACTCCTCACTGAGCTATCACTCCGGTTTGCCTTTACTCCCTCCATCACTTCACTGCATTTTGTGTAAGTGTAGACGGGTCAGCTTTGAGTCTGTAAACTAGGTACCCTTAGGTTTCTTAGTAAAGTCACGTTCTTTGACTATTCCAGCCACTCTTGACAGTCTCGAGTATAAATAGGTTTTGGTGGTCAGAGTGAAGACACTGACCCAGGAGACTTACTCTCACCTCCACCTCTTGGACCCACACGCATGCACTTTTTTTCTGCCCGAGTGTCTAGTTTTGCCCACCTTGGCGTTCCAGAATTGTTCATGCCCAGAAGTGGCCTTCTCTTCTCGGAGCATTTTCCCAAGCAGTTGCCCTGCCTTGTGACTTTTCAGCTCTACGCTGGTCCCAACATCCGTTAGCTTGGATGAGCCTGACCATGGACAGAGGTTTCTCCACACAAAACTTTCTTCTGCCTCTTTGACAACCAGTGGCAATTACGAAGAGTGGCTTTGACAGCAGGGGTGCATGAAGAACAGGTGGCCCCCCATGAACAAGATCACGTGCGTCTTTGGCAATGGCTATTCTAATTCTCTCTTGGTGTGGGAAGTCGGGGCCGTGGGGGCGGATGATCGGGCCAGGAAACCTACAGAGCGATGTGGCTCGGGCAGCTCACAGCTTCTCTGGGCCTCAGCTTGCTTAGCTGCGAAGTGGGGATAACAGAACCCCCTCAACAAGGCCACTTGTGAGGTCATTACTACAAGACACTACAGTGGGCTGAATTGGTCGAGAACATTCCCTGACATTTTCACTTTCCAGAAAGGAAATCAGGACGAGAGTACGATTTGTCTTGGACTTGTGGGTCTTCTGTCACTCACCTCACTCCTTAACGGCATCCAGCGGCAAACGATTTCCTGTCTCCTGATTTCATCTTCCTTTGATTCACCTCATCAAAACGGAAGCCATCACTGAGAACAAAGGCAGCAGAGCCCTGAGCTCCCCTCGGCCGACACGGTGACGCAGCCAACGTGGGACAGGGAACAGGAGGAAAAGGGCAGAAAAGCATGTCACTGACGTGGCACAGTGAGGCCCGCACCGAGCGAGGTGAGGGTGGCCTGGGGTTTGGCGCAGGTAAAACTGGACCTCGTTAAACAGAGCTCCCCCGGGAGGCGGGGAGGCGCGGGCGGTGCCTTCCGTCAATTCTGATCCCTCCATCAGCCACGCGGAGAGTAACCATTCCCTCCTCCGAGGATCACCATTCAGCTGAATGATACGTGCACAGCACTGTGGAAGGGGCCAGATCCTAAACGACAACAAACGCTCACGTATCTCCTACTCCCATTAGACCCAGAGCCACCGCTGGTCTTTTTTTTTTTTTTT